TCCCCTAAAGCCCCAGTAGATAGTTGTATGTCATAGTTGCACATCCTTCTAGTTGCTGTATGTGGGACGCGGCCTCAGCATGGCCGGAGAAGCAGTGCGTTGGTGCTCGCCCAGGATCCGAACCCAGGCCGCCAGTAGCGGAGCGTGCGCACTTAACGGCTAAGCCATGGGACCAGCCCCCTAGATGCTAATTTAACCAGCCTTCCCAAGCACCTCCTTGGTCTCACGCTCTCCACATGACGAACCCACCAAGGATGCTTGTATGGGTCCATCCGACAGAACAGGCTCAGAGAGGGCAAATCCATGCCCGAGGTCACACAGCGAGTGGGGCAGGTAGGATTCAAACCCAGCCTTCTAACCCTAGTGCTCATCCATCTCTCGTGAATGCACAACTTGGATTGCTCATGCCAGTCACTGGAACGGCAAAGAGAGCTCAAGTTTTCTGGGTGTGTTTGTGAGTGTGTGTGTGTGTGTGTGTGTGTGCACATGCTGTCTCCTCAACTAGACTGTTAACTACCGCCGTGTGTGTCTTTGCATATCTGCATGCCCCCACCGCCGCCCTGCCTAGCACAGAACCACAGCATCTCCACCAGCGCAACCAGCTCCTCACCCGACTCCTCGAGAACCGCGTATTTACTGATGTCTCAGCACTTATCTCACGCAATTGCAATTATTTGTTTACACGTCTGCCTCTCCGCCAGACTGCGAACTCCCCCCCACCCTCCCGAGGGCAGGCGCCTGCCGTGTCTGATTCATCTCCCATCCAGGCGCACAGTAGGTGCTCAAGAAACATGCATGGAAAGGATGAGCATGGAGGGTGTGGAGTAGAATCCTTCAAAACTCATGTGCTCAAGTCATTCATTCATGTGTCAGGCCGTTCAATCTGTCTTGAAGCAAACACCTGTTGAATGTTCTGAGCCGGGCGCTGTGCAATCTTGGGGAAAATTCTAGGTGGCCGACCCATCATTCATTCACTCACTCACTCGTTCAACAAAGATGCATCTAGGCCTGCTATGTGCTGAGGCCCCGGGACAGAGCCATGGATCAGACTTAGCCAGCACCCTCGAGGAGCTCACAGCCTAGACATGGACCTGACCTTCCCCACCAGGGGCTACACGGGCAGGCCAGGAGACGGGGGGAGCAGAGATGGAGGAAATCTCTCAGACCCAGTTCTGGCCCTTGGGAAGCTCCAAGTCTGGGAGGGAAGACAAGGAGAGAGAAGTAGAAAAAGAACTCTCATTTGTCAAGCATCTCTTCATGAAGCAGCATGCCAGGAGCAAGCAAAACATTCACCCCCTGGATCCTTTGCAGGGCAGGTGTTATTGACCCATTTCACAGATGAGAAAGGGCAAGTTCAAGGAGGAGAAATGACTGGCTCATCTAAGAGTAATTGTTCCCGCTATGTAATTCTTTATACTATAATTTCCCTGTTCAAATTAATGGCATGGCTTCTGTCTCCTGACCAATAATGATAATGATAATAATTATTATAGCTGCCTTCTAGGTATGAGCACTTAATACGTATGATCTTTCATCTCCTTCCATCAGCTGACATTGTTCTCATTTCGGGAAGAGGACAGAGCCTTGGAGAGGAGACGGGGCTTGTTTGGGGGGGCCCTGGTCTGCCCACAGGCCATGCACACAGGCCGTGGAGTCAGGGGACCCGGGCACGAGGCCCGTGTCAGGGAACAGGCGAGACAGAAGCACCGGGGAGGGAAGTGACAGCATCGTGGTGGTTGGATCTGACAAACACCGAGTTCTCCCTCGGCAGAACAGACTGCGTGCTGCCACAAGGCGGCACGTGGCTACCTGCCACGTCCCCGGCACGGCAAGTTCTGATGAGGCAGAAGGGGCTGCGGCTGTCTTGGAAGACTTCCTGGAGGAGGGGAGAAGGGGCAGTGGGACCAGCAGCAGCGTGCCAGGCCCTGTCCTCCTAAGTCTGCGAGGCAACCCTCCAAGCACAGGGAGCCTTGGGAAACAGACGGGGAGACTGAAGCTCCGAGGGGCTGACCTGCCCAGGACTGCCTGGTGCATGGGTGACAAAGGGACCGGGGTCATCAGGCTGAAAGCCACAACCAGCCACCACAGCACGGTGGAGCGGGTACATGAGACCCCCTCCCAGCTCTTTCCTGCTCAGCTCTACTCAGAACCCCCAAAGTGGGGACCATCACCCAGCCCTGAATTGCTAAAACTTGCCACACACTCTTGTTGCCTTCGGGGCTGCGGTTTGGCCTTCCCTCTGTACCCATGCGCCCGGGCACACAGTAGGTACTCCACTGGGCACTGAATGGGAAATAGGACCCCCGGGGCTCCTTTCCCTTCCCATAACAGTCCTAACTGTCTCCCCTCTGGTTTTTTTGCACAGGCTGTGCCCTCTGCCTGGAACATCTTTCTCCGCTCTTCTACTTGGCTGACTCCTGCTCACCTTTGCACAGGTGGCATGTCCTCTAGAGAGCCACTTCCACCCCAGGCCCAAGCCCAAGCCCAGATCTGGGGTCCCACTGGGACCTAAATTCTCTGTGACTTCACTCTGAACACTGGATTCTAACGGCATGGGTGTCTGTCCCCTGAGGGAGGGACTGGACATCTTGCTCACTACTTGATCCTCAGCACACAGCTCTGGGCCTGACACAGGGAACATTCTCAGTAAATATTTGATGAGTGAATGAATGAATGAATGAATGAAACAGTGAAGGAGCAGAGGGCGCAGGGAGGCTGGGAGGCCGGAGCCCGGAGGCGGGCCTGGGCGGGCGCTGTGGGGCAGACCTTATTATAGAGGGCGCAGATGTGCAAGGCCGTGTTCCCTGAGGCGTTCTGGGCTCCGGGCTCAGCCCCGTAGAAGAGCAGATGTTCCAGATGTTGAGAGTGGCCCCGCTGGCAGGCCTGGGGGGACAGGGAGCCGAGGAGGCCAGATCAGACCCTCCCGACCACAGCGTCTGTCTATACCCTCCACCTCGAGTCCAGGAAGCCCCGCATCCTCCTCCCTTCTCCTTCCAGTCCCCGATCCTGCATGGGGGCCCAGGTTGTCATTCCAAAGCCCGGATATCTGGCCTGGCCCCTTGAGAGGCTCAAGAGGCCATCCCCACCCATCTCAGGGATCAAGATGTCCAGTCTCCACCCCACGCCCCCTTAGGGTCCCATGTCTGCACCCTCACCTGTTCCTCTTTGGGGACCATGCTACTCCCACCCCTACCCTCTGTGTGGACCCCAGCGTCTGGACCCCCAGCCCCTCGGAAAGGGTCCCTGATTCCTGCCCCCTCAAGGCCCAGACACCCCCACTCCCCACCCGCAGCCCCTCCTGGCCGAGTCGAGAGCACCTGGTGGATCTCCTGCCAGCCGTTCTCGTCGGCTATGCCCAGCTGGGCCCTGTTGTACAGGAGCAGCTCACAGCAGCGGGGGTCGCCCCCCACCATAGCCGTATGGAACAGAGGGGTCAGGCCCCGGCGGTCCTTGTAGTTGGGGGAGCCCCCAAGGTCCAGGAGTGCCTAGGAAGGGAGAAAAGACAGATGACAGTCACAGGAGTGCCGGCTCATCCTGAAGGGTCGGTCCTGGGTGACCCACACTGGCCGATCCCAGTCCCCGTTCTGCCATAATGCCCTTGTGCGACCTTGAGGCTGGCTCTTCTCCTCTGGGGCCTCTCCCATCCCTGTGAACAATGAGGGGATTGGGAAGATGCCTCCAGAGGATGCTCCCACTCTGACATCCTGCCCATCCCTCCCCTATGGTTGACTTTGGAGGAGCCATTGAAAGAACCCAGTGCCCCCCCTACTCAGCAGGATGGTTGGGGGGCACAAATAAGACAATGGCATCTGGATGCAGGGGGGGCCCTGGCCAAGTGGGAGGTGTTATTAAGACCAGGATCCCAAGGATGGGGCACAGAAGGAGGCCTGGGTAGGGCAAGATGGGTGAAAGCGAGTTGGGCCACTGGGGCCCGAGGTTCGGTTGCAGGGAGTGGTCTCACTCAAGGAACAGCTCTGGGCACGAAGGCTGGTGGCTTCGAGCATTATTAGGAGAGAGTGTTGGAGGTGACCCTGTGTGAGGACGGCCTACAGCAGCGCTGTCCGACAGAACATTTGCCATGATGGAAACAGTCTTCAACTGTGCCATCCACTATGGCAGCATAGGTGGGCTACCAAGAGCTTGAATGTGGCTAGTGAGCCCAAGGAACAGGATTTTTAATTTTAGTTCATTTTAATTAATTTAAATCTAAACAGTGCCATGTAGCTAGTGGCTACTGGATTACAGCGCAGGTCTGGAGGCTGGGGTTTGGGGGTGACAGGACCCAGGTCTGGGAGAGGGGAGTGCATTGGGGGGATATAGGGAGGCTGTTGATTCCAGGGGCATGAGGCAGATCTCCAGTGTTGGTGTTTGTCTGCATTTAGGGTTCTTCAAGAAAGAGCTGGAGAAGCGGAGGGAGGCTCTGTTAAGCTGGAGCATCTGTGAGTTGGGATGTTTATCAACAACTACGTATCTTTGGGGGCAATCTATCCTGACCTGTGAATGAAGAGGGATCAAGTGCCCTTGCTCAGGGGGAGAGGAAGAGTGTTTTAAAATAAGACTGTGCGAGCCGACTCTGTGGATGTATTTTGTGGGTCTATGGGGTTTGTCTCTTGGGGAAGGCGCATTTTAGACATTGTACAGGGGAGAGGGCTGTATTTGCCTGTGAGAGAAGAGGGAGTGTACTTGGGGGAGATAATTGCTAGGTTAGGAAGGGTACTTGGATGGGCTGTGTTTTCAGGGTGTGTATGGAGGAGGATCTTTATCTGGGGGCATAGCAAGGAGCTCACTCTGTATTTTAAGGGACACGAGGAGGTTCTACACCACAAGGAGACAGAGGTAGGGTTGGTGTCCACTGGGTCAGAGGGAATGGAGAAGTTCTGGGTATGGAGAGAGTAACATGATCTACCTGGGTGTAGGGGAAGGGTCCCTGTGACCATCAGCTGTAGCTGATGTGAGCCAGGGAGGGTGGGGGCACCTGGGGGTCTGAGGAGGGTCTTGAGTTCGATGGAAGGAGTGACAATGGAGGGGAGGAGGAGGGAGGGTCTGGGGCAATTTGCCCAGTGTAGTCTGTGCAGGAAACACAACAATTTGGGGGTGTCTCTAAGCTCACGTCTCTGGGAGAGGGTCCCAGGGCGGGGCTGGCACCTCACCGTGAGAGCCAGGCAGTGACGGGCACACGCGGCCTTGTGCAGCGCTGTCATGCCATCCCGGGCCCGGAAGTCGATGTGGGCCCCGCCCAGGCACAGGGTTCGAATCACCTCTACGGAGCCTTCTGTCTGGGCAGCCAGCGTCAGGGGGGTCTCTGAGGGGCGCGAAAGGCCGGTCACACACAGCACCCCCCATGCCCGAGGCTCCCCAGCTCTCCCAAAGCCCCCGATGCCCTCCCTACCTCCTGAATCCGAGTCATGATAATTGGGGTCCAGCCCCTTGTCCAGCAGCCGTGCCACCTTGTCGGACGTCCCGAGCTGCACGTATTCCAGAAACTTCTTCAACCCCGTCTGAGCCACGGACAAGAGAGAGAAGACAGGCCGGTCAGGAACCAAGGGAGAAAAGCCGGGATCCGGAGCAGCACTGTCCAGCGGAAATACACAGCGAGCCACACACACGGGAAAGTCTCTAGCAACCACCTTTACATAAAAAGGAACAGGAAGTGTTGATTGTATTGAAATTCACTTTAACGACACGTCTCTTTAACCTAACGTATCCACAATATTACCGTATCAGCAGGTAATTCGTATGAAATTTATTAATAAGATAATTTACTTTTTGGAGGGTACCGAGTCTTCGAAGTCCGGTGTACATTTCACACTCACAGCGTGGCTCAGTTCGGACCGGCCACGCTGCAAGGGCGCAGGGGCCCCGTGTGGCCGGTGGCTCCTGCAGTGGACGGCGCAGGTCTGGAGGGACGGAATATTTGGGGGAGGACAAAGACAAATGCACGGCGGGGCGGGGGGCTGGGCGTGAGGAGGGACTAGGGGGCTTTTTGGCAAGTGTCAAGAATCCTTCACGTCACCTCTGACCAAAGCAGCCCCCTGGCTTCCACCCAGCTCTTAGGGGACCAGAGGAGACACAGGGGACACAGGGTCCGAGGGTCGGAGGGCAAGGCACCAGGAGGAAAGATATGGCTGCGGAGGGGTACATCCTTGGATCCAGTAGAGATTTAGGCTATGGGACAGGGGACTGTGCAGTGTCTAGGAAACAGCCCCTGGGCAGAGGGACACTGGATGTCAGAGTCCAGGCCCAGCAGGGGAGGGGAAAGGGGCCTGAGCGGATACTGGACCCAGGAGATGAGACGGGAGAGTCTAAGGAGAAAGAAAGGGGATCCAGGTGGAAGTTGTGTGGGCCTGGGCAGAGCAACGAGGGGCAAAGAGGGAAGTTAAGAAGCGGTTATGATGGGGACACTGGGGGAGCACTGGGGGCTGTTCCAAATGCGACATGGCATCTCGAGTTAAGTGGGAGACCCCGGCAGCGAAATAGAAGAGTTGTGCAATGATGTGGAGGGCTGTCGGGAAGAGGTGGGGAGAGGAAGCGGTTGGGGAGGGGGCTCCGGGTCTCAGGGTGTGGCGGGTGCTCTAGGGGGTAATTGCCAGCAGGGTCTCTCACCTTCGTGTGTAACTTGGCCAGCTGCTTCTCATCCAGGTTGGTCTGTTTGTAAACTCGGGTCTTGTATCGGAACTGAGTCCAGGGGCGAGGTGAGAGGAGAGACAGAGACTCCAAGTCAGGGGCCTGGGGAGCTGGTTGGACCCTCTTCTGAGCCAGGGGTCAGCTCAGGGTCAGGGTGTGAACAGCTCTGGAGCCTCGGCTGGGTGGGCAGAGGGATGCCGGGCCGCTGTGGGGTGTGCAGACTGCAACCTCTCACACGAAGGAGTCGGAGTCTGGACCCCTCAGGGAATGTTCTAGAACACCTACAGTAATCGGGACTCCGAGAAGCTTGGGGCAGGGAAGTGACTTGCCCAAGGCCACTCCACTGGTCAGAGGCAGAACAGACTGGAATTTGAACTCAGGCCTCTCTGACTCTTTCTGATTCTGAGATGCCCCGAGATCTCGAAGAGCCCACGGGTTTTCCCTCCTGCTAAGGTCTTGGCTGGGAGAGAAACAGGGAGAGGGCAGAGGTGTCGTGGGACATGCCTTCTCTCCCCCGGGAAGGCGCTGGGAAGGCCCTGGCCTCACCTCCAGGTAGGGCACCCCCTTCTCGAAGGACTGGGGGTACTCCCGCAGCAGCCGCTCTTCCTCCAGGAAGTTGGCGTCGCGGCCCGAGGTGGCCGGCTGGAACAGGCCATAGTTGAGCACGTCCTGCAGGCTCTCGCTCAGGGCACAGAGCACCTGCTGCTTGGCCGTCCAGATGGTGGCATCCGGGTTGAAGCGCAGGCATTTCTGGTGGGGGAGGCGACAGTGAGGAGCCTGAGGTGGTTTGGGAAGTGGGTGCGGGTGATTCTGGGGACAGGAGGGCGACTTGGGGAAGCAAGTGGGGGCCTGGCAATGGGGGCCCAGCGAGAGGACACTCAGCACCAGAGGCCTCCTCGAGCCGGCTCGGGCCCCTGTCCCCCATCAGCCCGCAGGCGGTCACTCACTGTCTGGTGCAGGTCCGGGATGCCAATCCTGAAGACCATCATGCTGAAGTGGGCGTCGTCCGGCACAGACATGGAGCGGCCCTGGGGGCCTCGGATGGAGGCCAGGCTACCAGGTGCCCTGCTGCCCCGGCCCCGGGTCCCCTGGGGGCCTCTCCCGGGCCCGTCTGGGGAGCTGTCGGACTCTGAGCCCCCCTCGGGACACTCGCTGGCACTGTGGCGTTCTTCGTCCTCGCTTGACGCGGGGCTGTGGGTCATCGTGGGGCCACGGGGCGATGGGGGACGGCAGCATCACAGGCGGCTGCGGGGGGCCGAGGGCGGCTGTCAGACTAGGAGCCCGGGACCCCTCGGAGGCCACAGGCACCACTCAGCGGACAAGGGCAGCCGTCCGACACACCCGTGGTAGGCAGGAAGGAGGCTTGACACACCCCCAGACACTCCTGCCGCCTCTGCACGTGCACACACACCCCCATCCCTGCCATGCTGCCAGCACATGTCTCCTTCCCTGCCCTTGGCCCTGCTCGTCACCCCCCACCCCTCCTGCGCCCCACTTTGCCGCTGACCCAGCGAGGCGGTGTCCCAGAAACCACGGAATCACCGCGGGAGCTACTGGCCCACTTTGCCAGGCCACGGAAGATGCAGCTAAAATTAGCCGAGGACACACAGGTGGACGACCCACCAGCATCCTGCCCTCCTGCCCCAGCCTGGCCCCTCACCGGAGGCCCTCCCTTCCTCCCCTTGGATGGCTGGGGGTGAGAGGCTGAGATGTAGTAAGGGGGGGACGGAGGTGCCATGTGCGAGCCTGGGGCGGCAGGAGCCAGAGGCGGCGTGGTGCCTGGGAGCGGGTGGAGCCAGTGACTTCACCGAAGTGTGGCTGACAATGTGTGCAGAGGGCTGCTGGGGAATCGGTGTCCCAGGGGCACCGAGATGGGGGTGTCATGGGGCAGAGCATCATGCACGGGGTGCCCCTGAGGGAACTACAAGAGGTGGCCTCTGCAGGTTGCTCGGGGCATCTTGAGAGGGTGTGTGGCTGGGTGGGGAGGCCGGCCTGGGAGGGCTGTCCGGTGGCAGTGGTGTGGTGGCCTGGGCCAGTGTGGGGTGGCTGCTGATGACCTGTGGCCACTGCAGGGTGGGTGGAGCCCATTGCCTGGTACTGAGGGAGACTGGGGGTCTGGGAGGGAGGCTAAGAAGTGGGGTGAGGGTCTGGGGGACTGGGGTGGGAGATCATATCCAGACCCCCACTATTCTCACCCCTGGGGTGGCCTTACAAGAGTGGGTCCCAAAAGGGGTCGGCCTCCCTCATCTTCTCCCCCATTCCCACCCCAGCACCAGAAACCAGAATGTCTGGTCTGGTCCCTCCCCCCCCACACCAGGCCCGGCTCCTGCACCGTTGCCATGGAGATGGGAAGCAGTGGAGGGTACTGCTGACTTTGGGGGAGTGGGGATGGGCTGGGGGGTGGGGGGAGGGAAAACAAAATGTGTGTGTGGGGAGGAGAGTTCCAAGAGCTGTGGGCGAGCCGGCATCTAAGCACGGGCCGGCCAGCCCCTCCCCCACGAGTGACCCGGGCTTCGAAGCCCCCTCCCCCTCCAGTACCCAGCAGCGCCGCCCCACCTTGCCCGGGCGGAGACCCCGGCCTCTACCCACGCGACTCGACATCCCACCTCCGGAGCCGGGACCCGGGGGTCACTCCCCCTCGGCTGACCCTGGCTGACCCCCAGTCTCAACCGGGCACTAATGGGGTGGCCAGTGGGGATAAAAGCGAAGCTGGCCCGGGTCCCCCCGCGCGTGCGGCTGCCCCCAACCCCCAGGACCGGCTCTGACCCCTCCCCCTCAGGCCCCGAGGGAGGGAGCGGGCACACTCCGCCGGGGCGGCATGAATCAAACGCTCCACGGCTAAGAATAGCCGGCACGCAGCTGGTACCGAGACGGGCTGAGGA